CTCAGTTTCCTCAACTGTAAAATGGGGATAATAATGCCTCTACCTCCCAGGGTTGCTGTGAAAATATAAGGAAATAATATTTATACAGCACTTAGCATAGTGCTTGACACATACTAGACACTTTGTTTCCTCCTTTCTTGCCCTAACCATACCCTGTGCTTTTCAGTGATTTGGATATGTGGTCTTTGGTAGAGTTCAAAGTACCAAAATTTAAAGACAGTGACAAACTAAAAGTAACCACGAGCAGGTAACTAAGACAGCAAAAGGTATGAAAATCATGTTAAAAAAGAAGTTGTCGGAATTTTAACAAAATTTGCCATCCTTTCCACTTGCCCATCAAAAGGAGTTAAGAAATATTCTGCAGACTCACTAATGTCCAGAAAACACATTAAACCAAAATAGGGTTTAATCTTCGAAGGAGGGAAGAAAAGAAAATGAGTCTGCTTTCTATTGTTACCCCATTTCCAAATGAATACCATGTGCTTTTGAGTCTGCTTCTCACTTTCTTTCATCTCCCCTTCACCCTTTTATACCATCTTCATCTCCTCTCCTATTTTCTTTTTTAAAGAATATTTATATTTTATTTTTCTCAATTACATATAAAAACAATTTTAACATTCATTTTCTATAATTTTTGAGTTTCAAATTCCCTTTCTCTCCATCTCTCTTGCTACCTCCCTGAGAAGGCTAGCACTTTGATAAAGAATATATATGTAAGGGGAAGCCAGGTGGTGCAGTGGATACAGCACCGGCCCTGAAGTCAGGAGGACCTTTGTTCAAATACAGCCTCAGATCACACACTTGACACTTAGTAGCTCTGTGGCCCTGGGCAAGTCACTTAACCCCAACTGCCTTTAAAAAAAAAAAGAATATATATGTGTAGTCGCACAAAAACATTTCCATATTAGCCACGTTCTCCTGTTTTCTTGAACCAACTTGCCAAACACACTGAAAATCATTAACCTGCTTCAGGGTGGTAATTCTTACACTGTATCTAGGGTATTGGGGAGATACACGTGTCTGGTTTGTATCACTTTGATTGGCAATTAACACTTCTAGCTTCTTCTTATTTCCCGCAGACCAACCATAAAACTCAAAATGGCTACCACAAGAATTTTGGGATGAGAATCCTCTAGATGAAAAAAGTTTAAAAGGGAAAAATTCCTGAGCCAAAATGACATTCACTGATATAAGAGACTCTTCAACAAACAACTCCACCTGATTTAAAAGATGACATATATAATTAAATGTAACAAGGTCATAGAGCATGCTCAAATTGGTTCTTGGTAGAAAGGTTGCAAAGTGTTTACCACTGTTGGCTTGCGGTATCCTATGTAGAAACTGTTGTGTGTGTGTGTGTTGGGGGGTGATGGGTGTTGTTTAACTTCTAGCCACATGTAAGATCTTATACTAACTGCCCACTGAGCCAGAATTCAGTGGACATAAGGAATGGTAAAGTCCATTCTTCTGCCTTTCTCAATTCCTTTTGACTTCAAAGTATAAGGACTGCTTTGAGCTGCCTCCTTAGAGCCTGGTGGGGAAGAGGCGGCTGGTCCTGTTCCTCTACCTGGCCTTCATAAGCCCATGTCCTAGCTAGAAAAGCCAGAATCTAGGTCTGCCTCTTTCGTTTTCCTTCTGAGTAAGTGACCTAGAAACAGCCTCAACATGGAAGTGTCCAGCCGCTGACTTTATGAGTTCCAAAAAATCCAGATGTCCCAGGAAGCCTACAAGCAAGCAGCTGGGGCACCCACAGAGCAGCAGTGGCTGAAGGCAGTAGAAACGTGAATCAGAAGCAGAGAGGCACAGCCAAGAACAAACGTAGCAAGAGATCTCCTGAGGGAGGGAGGCAGCTTCAGGGAGAATGATTTTTCATGGGCATGAATGCTGGCTACAGGCTCCAAAAGAGACTTTCAAGCTCTCAAGTACCCAGAGTTGTAAGTCGTGCCTTGACGTCACCAGGATCTAAGTTCAAGCCTACCCATCCCAGCCACAGTGGGTGTATTTGTGGGAGAGTGCACTCTGGGGAACTGGGAGGAGTGCCTTATAACTGTTGTCAGTGCTGTCCCTGTCAAGTGAATGCCTTGGTTGCTGCTCAGTTGTTTCATGACCCTTTGGGGGGTTGTCTTGTCAGAGATCCCGGAGTGGTTGGCCATTTCCTTCTCCAGCTCATTTTACAGATAAGGGAACTGAGGCAAATAGGGTTAAGTGACTTGCCCAGGGTCACACAGCTAGTAAGTGTCTGAGACCAGATTTTAATTCAGCAAGATGAGTCTTCTGAACTCCAGCCTGCATTCTATCCACTGTGTCACCTAGCTGCCCCTTTATTAAGAGCTAATTAAGTCTACTGGCTTATTATTAGTAGGAAGCCCATGAGGAGGTACTTGCACTGTTCTAAGTATATCTCCTCTCTTACCCCTAGAACCCTCAGAGTAGTAGCTGCTCCTCTGGGAACAAACCCAATGAGTGTGTGTGTACAAGTTCAGGGAGTAAACCTCTAGCCAAGGAAAGAACAGAAGTCTTACAAAATCAGATTTCCCAAGGTTCCGTCTTCCCCACCAGACAGTGCTATTTCTTATTACACATACAGAATGCTGACTTACTTGGTAGAATGCACTGTTATCCCTGTTGTGCTCAGTCTACATCTGCCTCTCTGCAATCTCTACCCTTTGCTCCTAGCTCTGCCCCTGAGACCAGACAGAGCAAGTCTAATCCCTCTTCCAAAATCCACTCTCCAATGCTTGATGGCGGCTGTCACATCCTTACCTCTCCTTATCCCACGCCACTTAATCTTCTCTTCTCCAGGACTAATGACTTCCGATCCTTCAACTGATCCTTAAATGACACAGAACCAAGGCCCAGAACCATCCTGGCTGCATTCCTCAGGATACTCTCCAGCTTACTAAGGCCTTTTTAAAATGGTGGCCCTGAGAACCAAACACAACGCTCCCGCTGTGGTCTCACCAGTGCGTAACACAGCTGAACTATTACCTGCCTGCTCCTACAGATGAAGCCAAGATCACATCAGTGTTTTTGTACGTCTACATTATGGTGCTAGCTCATACTGAGTCCGTGGAAACATCTAGATAACCTTCAGAGCAACTGCTGTCTAATTACACCTAACTCATCCCGAACATATGAAGATGATTTTTTGAACCCATGGGTGAGACCATACTACATATCTACATCTACATCTACATCTATTTGTCTACTACAAAGGTTTTAAATAAAGATATAAAGGGGCAGCTAGGTGGTGTGGTGGATAGAGCACTGGAGTCAGGAGGACCTGAGTTCAAATCCAGCCTTAGACACATAACACTCACTAGCCGTGTGACTCTGGGCAAGTCGCTTAACCCCAATTGCCTCACCAAAAAATAAATAAATAAATAAATGAAATTGAATGAAGATATAAACAAGAATCATACACAATAAGAAAGAAAGAATGGGTTGTTATCTCTATGGGAGTATCCATACAGATGAACTCATGGATCCACCAAAGTAATGAGGAAGAACAAGATGGAAATTTCTAAGGATAAACGCATTCATTTTAAAACACAGCTTTCCATCTTTTCTGCGCAATGCTTAAGCTCTCTTCTGTGATTAAAAAAATGTATACAGGAGTTTTTGTTTACTGTTTATAACAAATGCTGCTAATTGCATGCCATTTATGTCAAACATAAACATACTGGCAAAAAACCCCATAATATTACATGTTATTTCCATACTTAGTGCTTTTTCTGTTTTTTTTTTAAGAAGCGTGAAAGTTCTAACATGTATCAGAGGGGTTTTTCTTCTTGTGATGTGGTAGTGTAGTTTTTAATGAAGAACCATGTAATTTAAGTATAAAATCTTCGCAAACATCAGCAAATCAGGATTGAGTCTTTTCTGAAATGGAATTTAGGAACTCGCAAATGCTTTGCACATAGTAGTTACTGAAATGACGGCTGCTGAAGTGAATTGCTGAATTGTTTTAAAGCATTAAAATCTGCCATGGATTTGTATTACTGTAACAAATCCCATTAGGGATGGAGAAATCGTAGACTATTCTTTGTACACAGTAAGCACTTAATAAATGCTCATTGAATGACAGAATGTTATATATAGTCAGACATGTCAGTCAATTATCATTAGCTATTCTTCATTAGAAAGGATAATTACATGGGAAGGGGAATATCAGGAGAAAAAATATTGACTAAAAAACAAAGGGTATTAATGAATCTTTTTTTGAATCCAATCATCCCAATTATCCTCAATATCACATACTGACTTACTCTGTAGTCTTGAATGAGATTCACATTAGGATCATTAAGCTTAAAAAATAGTGAAAATACAAAGCATAGTCCTAACATAAAAATAGGATTTTCTTTATTAGCAGTTGTTTCTTGCTTCTTGAATACAAGATGGTTGTCAATATGTTTGCGTCTGAAATAAGCAGTATGAAATTAGTAGCGTATGTTACAAATAACACAAAATCCTGCACATATTGTAATTATTGTTCCAGTGAAAGAAGAAAAGTTAAACATTGCAGAATAGAAAGAATAGAAGAATAGAAAGCTGTGCCTTAACACAAATGTGTTATCAATAGAAATTTGCATCTGGCCCCACTTCAATACTCTAAAGCATTTATGATCTCATCCATTTGGTTACTTTCCAGCTTTTATTCGATGGAATATTATCACATGCAGAAAGGCAGCACAGTATAATGGACAGAGAGCTAAACTTGGAGTCAAGAGAACCTGGGTTCAAGTCCCACCCCTGACATATACCCAGTTCGACCTGGGACAAGTCACTTAACCTTCAAATTCTCCAAGGGCAGGTGCCTATCGGCAGTGAAAGAGGGTGTTTTAAGTTTCTTCACCAGGAATTCTCTATACCAATGAAATCACAAGGACAATCCAACAGTAACACATACATAATTTAAGATTATGCTTCTGTTTTTTCTATGACAAAGACAGAATATTTTCTCTACTTAACTAATGAATTCAACAAAAGGAAAGCATTACCTTTTGAGCATATGCACATATCTCATGGCAGTTGTTATGTGGAGCTTGAGTTCTCTATCATTCCAGTCACATCCAGAATTCTTATTTGGGTTTCTTGGACAGCACCTTCATGAGAGAAAAGAACAAGATTGCATCTTGACACACCATAAAAGTTAATGACTTAAGATATAAACCCCAAGCATCACTAACACCATTCTAATTTCTACTTTATCTCTCTGTGTCTGACTCTCTTAGCCCTCAGGATATGCCTAAGTTTCTGAGATACCACCTCACTGCCACCAGATTGGTTAATATGAAAGAAAAGGAAAATGATAAATACTGGAGGGGGTATGGAAAAATTGGGACACTAATACACTGTCAGTGGAATTGTGAACCACTCCAACAATTCTGGAAAGCAATCTGGAACTATGCCCAAAGGGCTATAAAACTGTGCATAGCCTTTGACCCAGCAATACCACTACTAGGTCTGTATCTCAAAGAGATCAGAGAAAAAGGTAAAGGACCCATATGTACAAAAATATTTACTTAGCATTTCTTTTTGTGGTGGCAAAGAATTGGAAACTGAAGAGATGCCCATCAATTGGGGAATGTCTGAACAAGCTGTGGTTTGTGATTGTGATGGAGTACTAATGTGCTGTGAGAAATGACAGGAGGGATATTTTCTGAAAAATCTGGACAGACTTACACGAACTGACGCAAAGTGAAGTGAACAGAACCGGGAGAACATTGTATACAGTAATAGCAATATTGTAAGGATGACCAACTGTGAATGCCTAAGCTATTCTCAGCAATACAATAATCCAGCACAATAAAATGATTCCAAAGGACCCATGATGAAAAATGCTATCCACTTCCAGAGAAAGAACTGATGGAGTCTGAATGTGTATCAAAACATACTTTAAAAATTTTCTTTATTCTTCCTGGTTTTTTTTGTCTGTGTTTTCTTATGCAAGATGGCTAATATGGAAATGCTTTACATGACTACACCTGTATAATCTATATCAAATTGACTGCCTTTCCAGGGAGGGGAAAGGAGAAAGGGAGAGAACTTGGAAATGAAAATTTTCAAAATTTAATGCAAAAAATTGTTTTTACATGTAATTTGAAAAAAATTATTTTTTAAAAAAAGGATATACCTAAGTTTACTCCATTTGTTCCTTTATCTTCTAAAAGGACCTATTGTATTTCTATGTCTTCTAGAAAGGATTTTAGATTTCAGGGAGAAAAGTTTAGATAAAAACTTTCTTAATAAGGCAAGCTGTTCTTTAGATATCTATAAATTCACTAAGTACCACTTTAATAATCTCTTAAGCCCTCTTCTCATTATTAATACATTTATAAAACATTTTAGAAAATGTGTTAACAGGAGAACCAGTCCTATGGAAGTAGGGGACTGAGAATTACCTAGGTGCTACAGAAATCCTGTGTCCAAAGGGTATAATAAATTAGACTCTTTAAATCTTTTCATAGAGGTGGATGCCTCTGTGGCTGTGATTACTATGGCATCAACACAAGTAATGGAATAAGAGGGTCAAGGCCTGGGAAACACTGCTTTTCAGTAATGTATTCCTCCCATCAACTGATACCAGCAGGGACCTAGGGTAGAAATAGTCACTGATATTATTTAAATTTCCTCCATAATTCTGTTGCAAATTTGGAAGGGGCCCTGGAGGTCAACAAGTCCCATTCTCTTATATTACAGATGAGAAAACTGAGGTCCAGCGAGGTTAAATGACTTGCTCAGAGTCACACTGCTATTAAGAGTCTGAGACAGAATTCAAGCCCTGTTCGCCCTGACTCCAAGTCCGGCACTTTATCCATTATATCACACAGTCTCTAATGTTGAGAAAAGCAGCATTTCCCAAGCTGTGATGTCAATGATAATCCTAAAGTCCTAGGCTCCTTCACATCTAAGTCATCTCTTTGTGGTTTCTCAGTAGCATCTCTTAATTGACGAATGCATCTGAGAGGATGTCACATGTCTGTCTCTGAAGCATGCCTTATCATTCTAAGAGGGAAGTCACTTCTAGCACCTTGTAATTCTAACTGTTTTGTTGTTGTTCAGCTGTTCAGTCCTATCTGACTCTTCATGACTCCATGGACTTTGTCTTTTTCTTGGCAAAGATACCAGAGTGTTTTAACATTTCCTTCTCCAGCATGTACCCATTTTACAGATGAGGAACTGAGGCAAGTAAGGATTCAGTGACCTGTCTAAGGCCACACAGCTAGTACGTGTCTAAAGCTGGATTTGAACTCATATCTTCCTAACTCCAGGTCCACTGCTCTATTTACGACGCCACCTAGCTGCATCAATTCTAATCCTAGCATTGATCAAATAATCTGTCATATTAGTATGGTATTATTCTCATCAGATGAAATGAGCAAAGAAAAATTACACTTCATGGAGTGAATCACATAGTTATCATGACGGTCCAAAGAACATGATACATTTTAAAGAGATGCATGTATGAACACAAATGGGCTTTCACCTAAGCCTGGGGTATTTTTATTGCTGCTGGCTTTGTGAACAGACAAGATTCCTAATTAATGTGTGGTGGAGAGAATGCCGATGTAATACTGCAGACTTGTATTAGAGCTTGCATACCTTGATCAATCGATCCGTAAACATGTGTGAAGTGCCTACTGTGTGCCAAGCACCGTGCTAAGTGTTGGGGACACAAAAAACAGACAAAGGACAGCCCCTGCCCTCAAGGCGCTCACAGTCAGGCACAGAGCTTGATCTGAGCCAACTGAAAAGCCCCAGGAGTAAAAGCCGTAGGGTAGTAATGGTGATGTTCTGAGTTTGGAAGGAGGGGCAAAAAAAGCCATGCTTCAACAAATGGAGAGGGAGTGAGTTTCTAGGAAAATTCCACTTTCATGGAGAGAGAGGGGGAATCATTCCTTGAGCATTCCTTGAGCTCAGAGAGGGCCGTGGGCTCACAGAATGATTATATAGATGAAATGTATACGTACGGCTGGATGTGCCCATGTAAGATATATATGTCCACATCAGTTGTCTGACCACCAATAAAACTCGATGAATTCAAGCCACCTGGCTGAGACGGCCAAAATGAACTACATACCTGACCAGAGTCTTCTCACCCCTTACGCCCCTCCCCCACCCTCCTCTCCCAGGTACAGAGGACACTGACTCTGGCCTTCTTCCTGTTTCTTGAACAAGACACTCCACTTTCTGATTCTGGGCACTTCCCTGGCTATCCCCCATGCCTGGAATGCTCTCCCTCCTCATCTTCACCTCCCGGCTTCCCTGGGCTTCTCCAAGTTTCAGCTAAAGTCCCATCTTCTATGAGAAGCCTTTCCCAGGTCCGCTAAATTCTAGTGTCTTCTCTCTGAAATTATCTCTAGAATATTCTATCTTGATTATCCTAGCTCGTACATCATTCTCTGTTTGTCTGCTTGCTCCATAAGACTATGAGCTCCTTGAGAGAAGCAATTGTCTTTTCCCTTTCTTTGTCAGTGCCTGGAACATAAAGGTGCTCATTACTAAGTGTTTCCTGACTGACTGAATACCAAAAAGAACTGGGAGATGCAATGGCTACAACATTCTCAGTAGTACCTGAAAGGTTATGGAAAACAGACGTACTACAGGACAGGAAAGGGCCCACCCACCCCTCACCAAAAATAGCAAAAAGGACAGTCCAGCAAACTAGAGGAGATTCCTGGCAAAATTCTGCAATGCTTTATGAAAGATCTACTAAACATACAGAAAAGCAAACCATGACCAGAAAGAGCCACCACTACTTCAGCAAGAACAAAGTAACTTTATTTCCTTTTTTTAAAAAGTTATTAAATTGGCAAAGCAGAGGAAATAACACACACACACAGAGTTTACCTAAACTTTAGTAAGTATGTGATAACAGTACCTCATGCTATACTTTTGGAGTAAATGGAGAGATATGGACTAGATGATAATACTAGATGGATTCAGAATTAGTTGAATGGCTGAGGTAAAAAACCATCATTAATGGTTTGATTCCAACTTTGAAGGAGGTCTTCAGAGGACCATCACAGGGACCTGCACTTGGCCCTACGATGTTTCACTTCTGTATCAGACTTGAATAAAGGCATAGATGACACCAAGCCAGTAGGAGTATCTAAAACCCTAGATGACACAGGATCTAAAAGAGACGGTGATACGTTAAAAATGTAAGGTCTCCCTCTTGGGTTCAAAAACTCAACTTCACATATACAAAATGTTATGGGCATGGGTTGACAGCAGTTTGAAAAAAGTCTTGAGGGGTTTTTTCATGAAGATGGCAGCGTGAATGCAGTGACTTGCTTGAGCTCTCCCCCAAACCCCACCAAATACCCATAAAAAAATGGCTCTAAACAAATTCTAAAGCAGCAGAACCCACAAAAAGAAAGAGTAAAACAAATTTCCAGCCCAAGACAGCCTGGATGGTTGATCGGAAAGGCATATCTCGCCACGCGGGCAGAGGAGCGCCATCCGGTGTGGGCGCGCAGGCCTTAGTGAACCTGGAGCAAGCCTCAGAGGAATGAATCACCGGCAGCTGTGGCGGTTTCCAGACTCCTCAATCCACGAATGCCAAAGACAAGTTAGAAGGTCAGTGGGACAAGTCTGTTTTTTCGGTGAGAGAAGAGCTAGGTCAGAGCCAGTTCCAGAGCGCAGAGCTCCAGTGCCAGGGCGGTGGCTGTGTCCTGAGCCTCCAGCCCACAGACTGAGGAGGAATCAAGTGGCTGATCAGAGGGGGATTGCAGGGGTCTCTTTGCAGTGCTGAGGCAGGAATCTCTTGCTTTGCCCATGCTTGGATCTGGGTCACAGTTCTGGGTGGCAGTCCTGGGGTAAGGAGGAGCACTGGCATGGTGGAGCTTGTAGTGGCAGTGGAGAGGAAACCCTCCTCACAGTTCCAAGAGAGAAAAGACTGCTTGTGGCCGGTCACTCAAAGACCAGAGCACAGGCCAGGAAAAGAGTAAACACCTCGACCCTTATCATACCACCTTGGAAGAACTGAAAATTTACAGGTCCCTAGAAGTATCTCTGAAAACAGCTATACAAACCCCCAAAGCTTGGGACAGCACATGCTCCACATTGGAAGCAGACTTTTACCTTAACAAAGTGTTTA